CCTGAGAGAGTAAGGGAAAGGGCCTGAAAGAGCTTCAGTGAGACACAGCATCACACAGAATCCAGGGAAGATGCTTGTGTACTAAGAGCCTAAAGAACGTTTGTTTTTTGCTTTTTTCCCTTCAAAGTGAATCCTTTCTCTCTTAAGAAGATGTGCCTAAGGCGAGTTAACCTTTTCTCAATATATTTCCCAGGTAGGACCTGAAATAAATAAGAACGTGTGGGTTACCCCCCGCCACATAGGTAGCACTGTGTGGAAACTGAGAAACGTAAACAGGAAAAGCAAAGGTCCAGAGAGAGAAGTGTCAGGTCCTCACTAGCCTTTAAGGGAGTGTAATAAATTTCATACATAAACCAGAGGCCAGCAATGGCAGTCCACAGGACAAATCCGGCCCTTGCCCCACTTCTCTAAATAAAGTTTTATTGAAACACAGCCATGCCCACTCATTTCTCTATTGTCTGTGACTGCTTTCACAGTGCAATGGCAGAGTTGAGCAGTGGCCACAGAAACCACTTGGCCTGACAAGTTTATAACAGTTACCATCTTGTCTTTTCCAGAAAAAGTTGTCCCTCTCTGACATAAACAGATTCCTAAACAGAATTTCTGGATCTGAAATGGACTTGCAATGTACTGCAGGTATCAGAAGAGCTTATCAAGAAAGTAAGCTAACCCAAATTTTCACCATTAGCTCTCCTGCGCTGGGTGCTAGAATGTGAATATTACGCATTTTATCTTTTCACTTCAGCATTTTCACCCTCTAAACATCTCTCAGGGGCAGCCAGGTACAAGTAGGTTAAGAGGCAGTGGTGAGGAGAGATATGGGTGTGTTGAGTGTGTTTGAACATGCAAATTTATTTACAAGAAAATAAATCATGAAAAATTATGCATTTTAAAAAGCTGACAAATACAAGAAATATCACAAATCTAGACCAATTGGGTAGTTATCTTTTTTAAGTGCCTGATACAGCTCTGGCCTGGTGACCCAATATCACAGTTCCCCATGGGATGAATGGTCCAGTGGGCAGCCAGAGAATTCTGAGACCCTTCTCTCTATAAGGACACCAGTGTGCATGGGTTATATTGTACCCCCATACCTCAAATTCATATGCTGATATTACTTGAAAATAGAGTTTTTACAGAAGAGATTAAGTTAAAAATAAGCTCATATGTGACAAAAGCTCTTAGTTATTTAGTCCTGTCTGACTCTGCTATCCCAGGGACTGTAGCCCTCCAGACTCCTCTGTCCATGGAATTCTCCAGGTAAGAACACTGGAGTGGGTTGCCATTCCCTTCTCCAGGGGATCTTCCCAACCCAGGGATCAAAATCAGGTCTCCTGCATTGCAGGTGGATTCTTTACCATTTGAACCACCATGGAAGCCCAAAAACAAGGTAGTAAGGGTTGTTCCAACAAAGGGTCGTTACTGTTGTTCAGTTGCTTAATTGTGTCTGACTCTTTGCAACCCCATGAACTGCAGCATGCCAGGCTTCCCTGTCCTTCACCATCTCCCTGAGTTTGCTCAGACTCATTTCCATTGAGTCAGTGATGCCATCCAACCATTTCATCCTCTGCCACCCCTTTCTCTTCCTTCTCTCAATGTTTCCCAGTATCAGGGTCTTTTTCAGTGGGTCAGCTCTTCTCATCAGATGGCCAAAGTATTGGAGATTCAGCTTCAGCATTAGTCCTTCCAATGAACGATCAGGGTTGATTTGCTTTAAGATTGACTGGCTTGATCTCTTTGTAGCCCAAGGGATTCTCAAGAGTCTTCTCCAGCACCACAATTCAAAATCATCAGTTCTTTGGTGCTCAGCCTTCTTTATGGTCCAACTCTCACATCCATACATGACTAGTGGAAAAAACATAGCTTTGACTACAGACTGTTTTTGGCAAAGTGATATCTCTGCTTTTTAATATGCTGTCTAAGTTTGTCATAGTTTTTTTTTTTTTAAACCAAGAGTGGGCTTAATCTAATATGACTGATGTCTTTATAAGAGGGAGATGAGGATGCAGACACACAGAGACAACCTCGTGGGGACAGACAGAGGAGGCGCTGTGTGTGGTGAGGACAGAGGAAAGAGGCCAAGGACAGAGACCTCGGGAGGAACCAGCCCTGCCCACACCTGGATCTCAGATGTCCAGCCTCCAGGACTGGGAGAAAATAACTGTCTGTTGTTTAAGCCACTCAGTCTGTGGTACTTTGTTATGGCAACTTTAGAAAACTAATATATTAGCAATAACTAAACTATGGAACTGGAGGAGGGCATGGCAACCCACCCTAGTATTCTTGCCTGGAGAATCCCCATGGACAGAGGAGCCTGGCAGGCTACAGCCCAGGGGATAACAAAGAGTCGGACACAACTGAGCAATTGACTAAGCACAGCACAAACTATGGAATCTCTTCCACTAACAGAAACTAAAGGTCTCCCCAACCCAGCTTCCCCTTGGTGGGACCACCAATGCCATGGCTACTCCATCAGTGTCTGGGCCAGGGGTTAAGGGTGTGTGACAGTGAACTTGAGTGGAAAGAAGCAGCCCTAAGAGACCCTGATGCTTTATGCTCATTGGCCTTCAGGCAAATCCATCAGCCATCCCAGCCCAGAGGTGACATTGGCCACCACACTTTCAGGAGGCCCTGGTCCCTGGCAGGAGCTAGTCTCAAGCAGGTCATCACCATAGGATTCCTTGGTTCCTTCAAAGGCACCCAGGCAGAGGCCAAAGTAACATTAAGCTGTGCTTCTCAGCTCTCCTGACACCATCTCAGATCCCACCAGCTCTGACAACATACTTGCTTAAAGTCCTCAGGGCTCCCTGGAGAACCCTTTAATCTTGTCTGACATTCGCACATTTTATGGAATCCCCCAAAGATGTTGGCTGCTACAAAACTCTGGCAGAATGATAAAAGCGTGAACGCTATTGTCTCTATGAAATGAAGAAAGGAGAAAAAAAGGTTAGAAAATAGAGAGTGAAAGAAAGGTCAGAAATTGAGGTGCACAGGGATAAAAATAACAACAGCCCACATATTTGCATTCTTCAGAGCATTTTCGAAGGCTAAGGGCATACATGGATTTCAGACAGCTTTGCTTATATTCACCGGACTTGGGGAACTGTCATAATAACCGTATAATGTAATCTCCATTCTACAGGCTCGGAGACATCAGATAACTGTTCACTGCTGGGCAGGGCTCATCCACAGACAGAGTGTTTTTCCTCCAAATGTTCTTCTGACATTTCCACTGCAGGCTCGGCAGGGGGTCCATGGGACAAGTGAGCCAAGGGAAGAGGCAGGTGGGACAGAAGTCCAAAAACCAGCCACAGTGAGTCTGTCTCCTGGGAGGCTTCCTGGAACATGGAGGGTTAGGTCAGCACATTGAACAGGAGCCCCAGGATTGGACCCAAATAGAGATGCTTCACTGAGCAGGTTGTCAAATATCCTTTGGATCAGAGAACTTAGTCTCATTGGTCCTCCATGCCATCTGCCTGATGACAGACTCATTCCACACCCTCCCTGGACAATCCACAGCACCTAGAAGCCTATGTGTGTGTGCTCAGTGGCCCAGTCATGTCTGACTCTGCAACCCCATGGACTGTAGCCCACCAGGCTCCTCTGTCCATGGGATTCTCCAGGCCAGAATACTGGAGTGGGTTGCCATATACTACTCCAGGGAATCTTCCCAACCCAGAGAGTGAACCTGCATCTCCTGCTTGGCGGGCAGATTCTTTACTGTTGAGTCACCTCGGAAGCCCCACCTAGAAGCCCACTACTCCCCAAAACAGCCTGCAGACCACTCTGTCCATCTCAGAACACCAATGTTAGCAGTGACTCTTCTGAAATTTCCTTGTGAATGACTCCCAGGCACCACGACATCTCAACACCTCACCAAGCCCCATAACGGGTGTCTCATTTCCCACCAGTCCTGCGTGATGCCCATACCCTTCTTTGCCAGGGGGCTCTGCATTGGGAAATGACACCATTACTCAACAAGGAGCTCATTTAGACCCTGGAGTCTACTCTTGACCCCTCTGCCTCCCTTTTCCCATGCACCTGACTCATCTTCAGACCCTGCTGCTTTTACCTCCAATTCTGTCTCTATCATATTTAAACTTCTATTTTCATAGTCACCTGCAGTAACAAGTTTGATATTTGTCATTAAATAGACACAAATCCCTGCAAAATGCATCACATCATTGATCAAGTGCTATAAATGTCCTTTTGTGCCTCCTTTTCCTGTAATTGTCAGTGTTCAGGATCTCTTGTTGCCATGTGCATGTCTTGTCTGTTGCCTATAGTTGGGGATGTTGCTTACGCCCTGCTTATCCATCTCTTTCAGGATGAACAATTAACTCAAACAACTACCACAGATGAGTTCTGAATGAGAGGCTTTCTACACACTCAAGGGTAGATCTTAGATCTGTGGCCAGGTTCTGAGATCTCACCCCTTATGCTGAACAGTTTTGTCACAGGGGCCTCCTTTTCCATTGGGTCATTTGTCTTCTTTCTTGATTCCTAGAGTTTTATACATAGGCATATCAAAAAGCAGGGCCATCATTTGCTGACACAGATCCATATAGTCAAATCTATGGCTTTTCTAGTAGTCATGTGTGGATGTGAGAGTTGGACCATAGCGGAGGCTGAGCACCGAAGAATTGATGCTTTCAAACTGTGGTGCTGGAGAAGACTCTTGAGAATCCCCTGGAGAGACAGGAGATTAAGCCAGTCAATCCTAAAGGAGATCAACCCTGAATAGTCATTGGAAAGACTAATCCTGAAACTGAAGCTCCAATACTTTGGCCACCTGATGTGAAGAGCTCCCTGATCCTGGAAAGAATGAAAGCAGGTGGAAAAGGGGATGACAGAGGATGAGATAGTTGGATGGCATCACTGGCTCAATGGACATGAGTTTGAGCAAAATCTGAGAGGGAAGACTAGCATGATGCAGTCCATGAGGTCACAAAGAGTCAGACATGACATAGTGACTTAACAACAACAAATACATAGGCTGACTTTCATTGTTGGATGATCACATGTGCTATGAGCTATCATAGTCCATTTGGGTTGCTTGACAGAATCCCATAGGCTTGGGTGACTTACAAAAAACAGGTGTTTATTTCTAATTTTTTAACAACAAAATTTAGTTATCTTTAGGATCATCTTCCATTTCTTTTGTGGGATTTATTTTCAGTACCTTTTATTTTTTCCTATTGTAAATGATACTTTTTAAAAAGTATTATATTTTGTTACTGTTACTGTTTGTTGCTGAACGAAAAGCATGCTGCTAATTCTGAGGGTTGAACCAGGTATCCAGAAACTGTGTAGTGCTCTCTGATTTGTTTTCTGAGTTGATCTCTGTTCTCTGGGGCTTTCTGTACGCTGCTCACAGTGGCTGTGAATAATGCTGGTTTTTGTTTTTCCTTTTCAGTCTGTGCAATGTTCATTTCTTTTTCATGTCTTACTGAGCTGGTCAGGACCTCTAGCACAATGTTGAATACAAACACACATCCCTGTCTTGTTCCTGATTGTAAAGTGAGTGTGCCTGGCATGTCTCCATGAAGTGTAACTTTTGCCGTATGTGTTGTAATAAATAGACTGGATCCCAAAATCTTCATTACCCATAGCAAACACACACACACACACACACACACACACACACACACACACACACCTCCCCTTGATTCTGTGACCAGTACCCATATACCTGTCTGCATACACATATATCTGAAACAGATACTGCCCCGAATTCTACTCGTCTTATCTCACTCCATCTTGTTACATTCTGATCAATTCTGTTCTCTTCATTTGATGTGCTAAGCTTAATAATTTAATATCTTTGATGTTTTCTTTCACCAAAAAGTGATTCCACAATCCTAAAATGCATGGCCACACTCAGTTGGAAAGCAACAGTAGCATTGCTTTAGAAGGTTTACAAGATGGGGAAATTCTCCCCTACTCATAGGAAATCTACCTGATTTTGTTTTTTAATTGTGGATGGAGTGAGTTGTGAAGTACGTGTGAGAGAGAGAGACTAAGGATGACTTCAGGGATCTGGTCCCATGTGCCTGGAAAGGTGGCCTTGTCACCTCTTGAGATGGGAGAAGGTGGAGGTCAGCAGACCCTTAAGTGGAGATGCAGCTGGATGGAAGGGCCTGGCTGGAGTGTGGGGGCACTGGTCCTGGACTTTCCCTGAGCCTTTGTCCATTCACATGTCCTGCATCATGTTAACCACACATGTGTTTCCCTGCAGGTTGTCGGCCCCTCCTGTAAGATCTCACATGTTCTGAGCCCTCAGGAAGGTGGAGTCCTCATGGGTCCTGGGGAGTTGATTGGATGCTTGTCTCTGTCACAGGTTTGTATTTCCTTGTGAGGGTCTTGGGATGGTAGTAGGGTCCCTCCAGAGTAGGTTGAGGTTTGCAGCTGTTGAATGTTCCAGAGGAATCACTAGACTATGCTGGTAAGCCTACACACTGGTATGCACAGTTCCAAGCTATTTGATGCTCAGATTTTGGTTTGGGGTTTTGTTTCCGTCCTGAATTCTGGCAGAATCATTTGAACTTCCTCATCTCTTCTCATACAGCTAGGGGTCTGCATCATGACTGAAGCTGTAACCATTATGGGTTGCATTATATTCAGGGGTCTTGTTTCTGACCCCCAGGTTAGATGGGTTCTCAGCCTCACCTGCTGTTGATACCTGGTGTTAAAGTTCAAGGTCATGTTTATAAGCCCACCTGCCCCTTCATCTGTCTCCTTTCCTGTCCACTCACCTGCATCTCTCACCTGTCCCCTCACCTGCCCACTTCATTCAGGAACACCACCACTCTGGTTTTTCATGCCTGAGACTAGGAGTGTTTTCTTTCTTTCTTGGAAGCTCAAATATGCACTTAAAATATATTTTGCTGTATTTAACCTGGCATATCTGGGTTATTTTCCTATGGTCTGAATGTTTGTGTCCCCCTAAAATTCGCATGTTGTAGCCTCCCCCACCTCCAAGGATGGTGATGTAAGGAGGCGAGGCCTCTGGGAGGAGCTTAGGTCATGAGGATGGAGCCTCATGACCAGGACTGGTGTCCTATTAAAAGGACCTCAGAGATCTCCCACACCCCTTCCGCGATATGAGGACATGGAGAGAAGACAGCCATTTATGCACTAGGAAGCAGGGCTCATCAGACACCCAAATGGCCAGTGCTGTGATCTTGGACTTCCAGCCTCTGGAACCATGAGCAGTAAATTTCTGTGCTTTAGAAGCCCCCGGCCCAAGGCATGCTGTTACAGCAGCTGGAATAGACCAAGACACGTTTGTTCTTCCACCTTACCAGAATCACAAGTCTTCAGCACAGTCTTCCTAGGCACAAACATGACTATATCATTCCCATGTTTACAGTTTTCCTGAGTTTTCCCTTTGCCTTAGGATAAAGTCCCACTTCTTCACTTGGGCTCGCAGTGATCCCTTGGGTCCAGCCCTTGACCCCACCCCCACCCACCCACATGCAACCTTTGGTTCTCTCTCCCAGGACCTCCAAGTCCCTAAATATTCAACCTAGGGTCTTTCTGTTCTCTTATTTTAATAATTGAAAGCACTTTTCTTTTTTTTAATTATGAAAGTGTAATAACACATTTACAGGAGACTTGTAACATACAGAACAAGGTTACATATAGTTCCACCATGTTAGTTGCTAGTCATGTTTGACTCTTGGCAATCCCATGGACTGTAGCCCACCAGGCTTTTCAGCCCATGGGATTTCCCAGGCAGGAATACTGGAGTGGATAGCCATTCTCTTCTCCACTGTATATTACAATTATTTTTCTTTTAAGTAGATAAATTAAGGTTTTTTAGTTGGAGTTTCAATATCAGACTCTTAAAAATTAATAGAATGAATTAGACAGAAAGGCAGAAGGATATAGTAGAACTGAAAAGCACTATGAACCAACTCAATATAATTAAGATTTATACAATTTTCACATGACAGCATGATACAAATTCTATTTAAGTTCTCAAAGACTATAAACCTGGAGACACTGGAACATATCCAGGCATGTAAAACAAGTTGCAAACATTTCATGGCGACCAAGGGTCCTTCTTACCTCCTACTCCTCACGCCTGCTCTTCCCTCCACGTCCAGCTCTTTCCTCACCTCCTGGACCTGTCCCTTCACCTGGCTAAGCTTGTTTCTCCCTCAGATCTCACCCAAGGGCCTATTCCTCAGGAAAACCACCCAGATTCCCCCTAACTGCAAGTTTCCTGTATCCCTAGCTATGTATTTACATCACACCCTATATTTTTTCCAGAGCACTTTACACATATTATTATTTAATAGACATGCATAGGTGTAATAATTAGTGCTTTAACATCTGTCTGTGAACAGCCTGTGATAATTAGTGGTTTGAAGTCTGGCTCACCCACCAGACTTAAAGCTCCAGAAGGGTAGGGGTGTTTCACTTTTCATGGGATCCCCACGCCTGGTGCTGTGGCTGCTGCTTCACAGAATGGCAACACACAGGTTGGATGTGTTTGTAGACAAAAGAGATGAATGAAATGCAAAGCCGAGAGTCTTTTTCTTGCACAATATCTTTCCCTGTATCATTGTCCACAGAGTGGAAGATACTCAGGTGGGGTGCAGATCAAAGCTTTATTGAGATAGAAGTCACATATCATAAAACACTCCCTTTTTATATTCTTTTTTTTAATTGAAGTATATTTGATTTACTATATTATATTAGTTTCAAGTGTACAGCAAAATGATTCAATTACATATATATACACTCAGATTATTATACTTTTTCAGATTATTATATATTTTCATATTATTTCCATTATAGGTTGTTACAAGATATTAAACATTGTTCCCTGAGTTATACAGTAAATTTTTTTGAAAACACTCTCTTTTAAAGCATTTAAAAGTATATTACCAAAACCGTGTAACCAACACCACTATTTAATTTTAGACTAGTTTTGTCACCCCAGAAGGAGCCCAGGACCCAGGAGCAATCATTCCCTGTTCTCTCAGCAAATGCCAGTTAACTTTCTATTCCTGTGGATTTTCCAGTTTTGGACCTTTCAGATAAATTGAACCATATAATACATGGTTTTTTTTCACTTTGCATAATTTTTCAAATTTGATCCATGTTCAGTTCAGCTCAGTTCAGTCGCTCAGTCATGTCCAACTCTTTGCAACCCCATGGACTGCAGCATGCCAGGGTTCTCTGTTCATCGCCAACTCCTGGAGTTTGCTCAAACTCATGTCCATCGAGTCGGTGATGCCATCCAACCATCTCATCCTCCGTCATCCCCTTCTCCTCCTGCCTTCAATCTTTCCCAGCACCTGGGTCTTTTCCAATGAATCATTTCTTCTCATCAGGTGGCCAAAGTATTGGAGCTTCAGCTTCAGCATCAGTCCTTCCAGTGAATATTCAGGGTTATTTCCTTTAGAATTGACTGGCTTGATCTCCTTGCCATCCAAGCGATTCTCAAGAGTCTTCTCCAATACCACAGTTCAAAAGCATCAGTTCTTTGGTGCTCAGCCTTCTCTATGGTCCAACTCTCACATCCATACATGAATACTGGAAAAACCATTGCTTTGACTATAGGGACCTTTGTTAGTAATGTCTCTGCTTTTGAATATGCTGTATAGGTCTATCATAGCTCTTCTTCCAAGGAACAAATGACTTTTAATTTCATGGCTGAAGTCACCAACTGCAGTGATTTTGGAGCCCAAGAAAATAAAATCTGTCCCTGTTTCCATTGTTTCCCCATCTATTTGCCATGAAGTAATGGGACCATATGCCATGATCTTCGTTTTCTGAATGTTGAGTTTTAATGTTGATCTGTATGGCATGAATCAGAATTTCATTTCTTTTTGCAGATGAATAACAGTCCATTGGCTGGCTGTACCACATCCCTCCACAGATGGGCCTTCGTGTTGCTTCCACTTTGGGGTCATGGTACACAGCACTGCTGTGGTCATTGGAAGGCTGTGAATTTGAATCTGACCTGGCCACTTGGTCACTTGCTCCACACTTTACCTTCTTTCAGAGATGTTTTTGCAGAGAATGTCAGCGTCTGGTTAAGTCTCTTTTAGAATAATGTCTGGCATTCTGGACCCTAGTTTTTAACAGATGTAAGTCATGGGTGTAAGAAAGCACACATTCAGGAAATTAATGTTAAAATTTAGTAATTAAATAATAATAAGTAGATAAGTGAATATCCCTCCCCCCTTATAATCCAGGGAATTGTATTTTTGTCTTGTGCTTTTTCTTAAATTTTAATTCCATTTCTCATGGGACTAACATGAGGTTCAGTCAGTATATTATGTATATGTGTGTGTACATACAGGGGCTTCCCTTAGACAGTAAAGAATCTGCCTGCAAGGCAGGAGACCTGGATTTGTTCCCTGGGTTGGGAAGATCTTCTGGAGTAGGAACTGTCTACCCACTCCAGTATTTTTGCCTGGAGAATTCCATGGGCAGAGGAGCCCGGTGGGCCACAGTCCATGTGGTCATAAAGAGTCAGACACAACTGAGCAAATAACACTTTCACTTTTTCACTTCACATATAGGGGTAGGCAGAATTCTAAAGCCATCCCCCCAAGATCCTCATCCCCTGATAATTTAAACACTAATCTAGGTACTGCTGTGAAGGAACTGGCAGGTGGAATGAAGGTTACTCATCAGTTGAGTTTAAAACAGGACAGTTATCCTGGATTGTGTGGATCACAACAAACTGTGGAAAATTCCTAAAGAGATGGGAATAGCAGACCACCTTACCTGCCACCTGATAAATCTGTATGCAGGTCAAGCTACAACAGTTAGAGCCAGACATGGAATAATGGACTAGTTCCAAATTGGGAAAGGATTATGTCAAGACTATATATTATCACCTTGCTTATTTAACTTATAGGCAGAGTGAAAGTGAAAGTGAAAGTCACTCAGTTGTGTCCGACTCTTTGTGACCCCATGGACTGTAAAGTTCATGGAATTCTCCAGCCCAGAATACTGGAATGGGTAGCCTTTCACTTCTCCAGGGTATCTTCCCAACCTAGGGATAGAACCCAGGTCTCCCACATTGCAGGCGGGAGCCACAAGGGAAGCCCAAGAATACTGGAGTGGGTACCTATCCCTTCTCCAGTGGATCTTCTCGACCCAGGAATCGAACCAGGGTTTCCTGCATTGCAGGTGGATTCTTTACCAACTGAGCTATCAGGGAATCTATATGCAGAGCACATCATGCGAAATGTTGGGCTGGATGAAGCACAAGCTGGAATCAAGATTGCAGGGAGAAATATCAATAACCTTAGATATCTAGTTGATACCACCCTTACGGCAGAAAGCAAAGAGGAACTAAAGAGACTCTTGATAAAGGTGGTAGAGGAGAGTGAAAAAGCTGGCTAAAAACTCAACATTCAAAAGATGGAAATCATGGCATCTGGTCCCATCACTACATGGCAAATAGGTGGGGAAACAATGGAAGCAGTGAGAAACTATTTTCTTGGGTTCCAAAATCACAGCAGAGGGTGACTTCAGCCATGAAATTAAAAGACACTTGCTCCTTGGAAGAAAAGCTATGACAGACTTAGACAGCATATTAAAAAGCAAGATAGTACTTTACCAACAAAGGTCCCTTATAGTCAAAGCAATGGTTTTTCAAGTAGTCATGTATGGATCTGAGTGTTGTACCATAAAGAAAGCTGAGCACCGAAGAATCAGTGCTTTTGAACTGTGGTGTTGGAGGAGACTCTTGAGATTCCCTTGGTCAGCAAGGAGATCAAACCAGTCAATTCTAAAAGAAATCAGTCCTAAATATTCATTGGAAGGACTGATGCTGAAGCTGAAACTCCCGTACTTTGGTCACCTGATGCGAAGACCTGTCTCATTGCAAAAGACCCTGATGCTGGGAAAGATTGAGGGAGGAAGGAAAAGGGGACGACAGACGATGAGATGGTTGGATGGCATCACCGACTTGATGGGCATGAGTTTGAGCAAGCTCCAGGAAGTCTGAGCAAGACAAGGAAGCCTGGCATGCTGCAGTCCATGGGGTCTCAAAGAGTTGGATGTGACTGAGCGACTGAACTATTCTGGATTAAGTAAGTGGGTCCAGTGTAACCATATGAGCAGAAGAGAGATTGAGAAAGATTGAAAGCATGGGAGAGGCTCAACCTTCCATTGCTCAGGAGCCACGTGGGAAGCAGGAGGAGGAATTTGGTCTGCAGGTAACAAAGACCAGCCCCACCCGACAGCCGGCAAGGAAACAGAACCTCAGTCCAACAACTGCAAGGACTGGATTTGATCAATAACCTGAATGCACTTGGAAGCTCAACGTCACCCAGAGAATCTTATTCTTGTTTTCCATTAAAAAGTTCAGTCCATCAGACACCTTGATTTCAACAGAGTTGTAGCTTTAAGACACACGGTGCATGGACTGCTGACCTTGTGACTCTAGGATGATGAATGGGTGCAGAGTTAAAGCTTTAAGTGTGTGGTAACTTGTACAGAAGCAACAGACCACTAAGACATGAACATAGATGTTGCGAATTTTCTGTTTTATGTCATGCATTAGTGGTAAAGTGTATGCAATATATTATATAGCATTTACCATCTCCTGAATTACCTACATACACACATTTGTCCTACTAAATGTTATTTTAATCATCTGACTCCTCTCCACTTCTTCGGAGTCATCGAGTCTGGCTGGAGGGCAGTGGGGAGGGGCAGTGAGGAGGTGCAGCTACAGGGGGTACAACTAGGAACTGTTTGTAGTGTGCTGGACAATTCCACCCAGAGGTGTCTTCACATAATGCAGATAAACAGATTATCATGAGAGGGTGATGTAGAGAATGTGGTTCCTTCCTGTTTTGTTTGCAGGCACTCTGTAAGTAAATTAAACGTCTTCACCTGCTAAGCTACAGGGTGAGCCTTATTCACTGCAAGATGAAGAGTTAATTAGAGGTTTATAATTAGATATTAAACCACTAGCAAATTACATGTAAATTATGGGGCCTGTTATTAATAAAGAGAAATCCAGGATAGCATGAAAAAATTGTAGATGCACAAGTAGATAGATATCTTACCATTTTATGGAACATCTCTGTTCCCCAACAAAACTAGAATATGATAGTACTTTTCACAAAAAAAGCTGCTTCTCACCTATGTACCCTCAGTACGGCTGTCCTCACTGTTGGCAGGTCACATTCTGAATTCTTTCTTTTCTTCAAAAACTCCTCAGCAGCTTCTGAGATTCTGTCCAGATGCTCCTTCCTCCAGGAAGCCTTCTCTGCATGCTCCAATGACACATACTGTCTTCCATGGTGATGAAATACATACATACATATTTATATACATACATACATATTTATGTATTTATGTATGTGTACATAAATACATATATCAACTGGTCCTCTGTTTTATATATATATATATATATATATACACATATGAGTGTGTATACTTGACCCTTCTATCAAGTAGCCCCAGCCTAGCGAGGAAGGCAAACGAGGGTACCAGCACCATGGAAGGCAGTTTGTGTCATTAGAGCAAGCAGAGAAGACTTCCTGGAGGAAGGAGCATCTGGACAGAATCTCAGAAGCTGCTGAGCAGTTTGTTAAGAAAAGAAAGAATTCAAAATGTGCCCTGCCAGCAGTGGGGATAGCCATACTGAGGGTACAGAGGTGAGAAGCAGCTTTTTGTGATGGACGTGAGTTTGAGCAAGCTCCGGGAGAGGGTGAAGGACAGGGAGGCCTGGCGTGCTGCAATCCATGGGGTCGCAGAGTCAAACCTGACTGAGTGACTGAACAAGAACAGCGATATAGGTGTATGCTGGTTTATATATATACTAAGAGGTCATTGTAATAAATATATTGTATACACATTTAGTGTATACATATTGTATTAAATATATATACTGTGTGTATATATAAAGCATTGCATATACATTGTGTGTATAAATATTGTATGTATAGACACTGTATATATATATATATAATATGCACATTGTGTATATACACACACAATCTTTTATATACATTGTACACATGTATATACATTGCAATGGCATATATACATTGACTGTATATATAAACAATCGTGTATATACCTCGAATGTATATGTATAAAATGTATATGTCTTGCATGTATGTGTATACAATATAGTATATACATTGCATATATGTGTATATATGTATAATATTTCATATACATTGTGTGTATGTATACATGATATTGTATATACCTTATAAAATATTGTGTGCATATATAACATGCTTATATATGTACACACATTGTATATACACACAATATTGTGTAAGCATCATGTTTATATATAGATAATATTGTATATACCTTGTGTGCCTGTGTATATATACATATATATAAAAAATATGGTGTATATATTGTATGCAGACAGAAACACATATACAGTGTTTATACACTTATCTTCTTGAGCTTTGTCTTTCAGAGCCTGCACTGTACCTGGAATACAGGAGGCATCATAGAATATGTGCTAAGAGTTGCATCGTGATGCGGTAAATACATTAGTTATCATCCCAACCAGACTTGCTGAGAGCACAGAGGGGGCTATCAATAGTTCCGCTGGGAGCATGGGCCTGCCTGGAGGCTGTCCCAGGCAAGCTGAGACCTACAGTCACCCTGTGTAATGACGAGAAGCCCAGAGAGGGGGAACGTGAAATGCTGGTGTGGGGCCACCTGTGGTGGTGCTGGCTGGCAGGACTCAGATAGGGATGGCGGTCAACTGGCTACTGTGCAGCCATTCAAATAGAAGATGACCATGACTCTGTGTAAAATTAAAGTGATAGCATCTTGAGGAAAGCAAACCTTGAGGAAACCTTTTAATGATCTTTTCGTACTCATGGGAATGGAAATGCAGTTTTACCATATTGTTTACTCACAGTCTGCTGTCACCCAATGGATGCTTACTTCACCCTGTAGACCTACCACCTCTTGGCCAAATCCATCATCTCCAGCTTCACTGTCCACGTTGAAGACAGTCGTCCTTGATCATTTACATACTGTCTACGGCTGTGTCAGGGTACAGCAACAGAGCTGAGCTGTGGCGACAGGGACCTGTATGCTCCACAAACGAAAAGTAGTGTCTGACCCTTTGCAGGTGAAGGTTACTGATGGTGCAAACCTATAAATGCAAGAAGCACTCTCTTCATATAATACCAGGTATAGCTGTTAGGGAACTGTTGATCGAAGCCACCACATTGGCCAGGCCTGCTTACCTGAATTGTCTCACAACAAGAGGTCCCAATAAGGAACACGATGCTGCCACTGAAGACTAACTGGGAGAATTTGGGAGAGGACAAGAGACGGAGGAGATGAACATCCTCCCAGATTTCAGCCCTCACACTGAAATCCACCTTGGCTGAAAGATGCACCTGCCGTCAGGAAGGACCTTGAGTCAGACTGTGGGTAACCCCGTCACCATAAAACCAGAGGCTGTGAGCTACACAGAAGAGCACTTCTCCTGGGTCCCTTTACCCTGCTGCTCTCTGCGTGGGTGCTCCTTCCCAGTAAAATCTCTTGCTTTGTCAGCGCATGTGTCTCATTGAACAATTTGGTTTCGAGTGTTAGGCAAGACACCACTCTCAGGCCCTGCAAGGGATCCCCTTTCCTGACATAGTGGCAGATGCAAGGCAACAGCGCACTGCAGATGGTGCCATCATCAAGCCCTTTTCCTCCACCCTCTTAGGTTCTGTGACTTAGATCCATGAGTTAAACTGATAAGACAGATGAACAGGAGAAAAAATTTATTACATGAACACATTAGGGCCTCCAGGTAAAGGAAGTGAGGACCCAAGGAGGCGGTTAATCCCTGGGGCCTCCACACAATGAGGGATGAATTGTGAGCAGGGACACAGCAAAGGCCAAGGGGCAGGGAGCCAGGGTCAGGTCAATGTTAAGGGGGCAAGTGGAGAGAAGACTGATGTCACTGAGGTTTCTTTGTGCAGCCCTGCCTCTTTCTGGTCTTCAAGGTTGTCCCTTCCTTCCTGGGATGAGAGGAGGACATCACAAGGGAAACTTATCAATACATCCTGCTTTTAGGCAGATCAGGAGGGCAGAGAGTTTCTCCTGAGTCTGCTGTTTCTCAGCTACCTTTGGCTCAAAACAGTCTTTTTGCAAAAATGGCATATTTGGGGGTTGGCATATCTGATCCCATTGAAACCTAGCAGGATCTTGTGAGGCTCCTGGCACAAAGTCTTTCTGTGTCCCCAGTTTTTTTTTCTCTGCCATATAGAGTCTTAGTTCCCTGACCAGGGATTGAACCCACACCCTCTACATTGGGAATGCTGAGTCATAACCACTGGACCACTAGAGAAGTCCCTCCCCCACTTCTTGATTATAGGAAATAGGCTTCATTTGGCCTTTTTGACCTTCCCTGAGTTCCCAAGGTTAGATTCAAACAGTTGGAAGGAGGGGATACACAGACGAGGAGCATTCTAGAAGCAATAGTGCAGCTTTGGGACAGATCCTGGTTCCCCCTCAAGGGATGCACACAACAATATCTTTGAGAAGTTCTGCAGATGCTGAAACCCCCACCAAGTGGGAGAAGTTAACTGTTTGCTGCTCACAAGCACGTAGATCCCAGACCTGTTGGACAGAAGGTTGATGATGCTGACTCCCACTTACCTCACCACTGACCAATCAGAAGAGTGTCCACAAGTTGATCATGCCCTCTTTGGACCATTTCTATAAAACTCCTCACTATCCTGTGAAATGGAATATCTCCTGCCATATCAGTAAACAAGGATGTAACAGCCACCAGTGATTGGGCCTCCAAATGTGAATGAAGACTCCTAAAAGGGAAAGCAATATCTGCAATCCAGCAGATGCCACCCCCGGCCCCCATGGTGATTGCTGAGGAGCTTGGAGGGATGTGAGAAACAAAACAAAACATAACAAAACAAAAACTGGATGCTGGCCTCAGATAGCTGAGATGCATATGAAAGGAATGGCTTCAACAGTCCCAGGCTCTTGCATCTTCCCATACATAGAAGAATGATAAATTCCTTAGTGTGATATCTGGTTTTCCTTACTTAACAGTAATCTTTGATGTTCAGACTGCCTGCCCTCTTTGTGGCAGGACTGTATTAACCCTGACTTCCTTTCCTACCTCCTGGGAGCAGTCTCTCAGATCTACCTGAGTTGCTGTCTCCTGGGCTTGAAGTCCTAAAATATTCCCACCAAATAAAACTCTTTCTACTTTCAGGCTGTGACTAATTTTTAAGTTGACAGCCCCCTCCAGGTTGGGACACATGAATTTGAGGGCATTAGCACTGTAGCCCCCTTTGCCTGGCAAAGCAATAAAGCTATTCTTCTCTACTTCACCCAAAATCTGTCTCCAAGATTTAATTAAATGTTGGTGTACAGTGGCTGGATCCGGCAGGCATCACCGTTCAACCTACAGCTTAAGCTACACTAAGTACTAATGGCCATTTCTGATCTAAGCAAACCACCTGTGCATTCTTGCCTCAGTTTCCTCATCTTCAAGTTCAGATAGTTAACACCCCGCCCCCATCCCCGAGTCTACCAGGGAGCTGCTGTGCCCGTCATGAGGGGAGATGACGCCAGGAAAGCACTTTATGGTTTAAAAATGTGCCACTCTGCACAAATTCAGTGGGATGCTGACTCTGAGGGGGCCCCAGGGAGGGGCCGCTGACGGGCCTCGGAGAGTTCAGTCCAAATGGGAACCACTCACTGAGTTTATGCGCCCCTCCATTCCAACTGCTGCTAAAAGGAAAGTTTTTAGGGATCCTTTGTTCAAGCAGCAGGTTTGAATTTACCAAAGGCTGAATCTCCCTGCAGGAAACGGGGCTAATTGTGAAATGGCTTTGGAGTTAACTGTTCCGTTATCCTCAAAGAATGAGGCAGGATTTGCATTTGAAATGCATCACCATGCCCGCGACTGTGAAAGCTTGGAAGCGTTGGTTCGAAGCCTTCTGGGTTCTCATTGCTGTCTCCAGTAATTTTCCATCCCGTGATGCTCCTCACCCGCTGAGGCTGGGAGAAGCTGTCTCCAGCCGGCTGGATGTACTTGTGGGTCTAAAGAGAATTCTGGATTCAGAAATGGGAGGAAGAAAGCCAGACAAGAAATAAAGCTGCTTCATTACGTGCACATGAACTATGAAGAATTCTGAGTCTTTGGAGGCAGAAATCAATTTATGGAGAAAAATGAAGTCCACCCACAATCAAGTGGTGTGCTCTGTTCACTCTGGGATTGTATTTGCATGGAAAGCAAGCACCCCAATAGTTCTTCATGAAGTGTGCAGATTACCAATGGATTTGCATACTTTTTGTGCCTTCCATTTCACAGCATAAATTGCTTGATTAAGCCTTAGTCAATTTGTTTTTTTTTTAATTTCTTTGAATGTTTTAAGCCACTCACTCTTTTTAAGGGGGCAAACAGCTAAACCTGGAAATGGAATAGTAGCTGGTATTGGCATTTTATCTATTGCCTATTACTATGAATGCCAATTTCCCCTGCAGAAGGAAATTTAAAATGGTATTTATAGATGTTTTGAAGCTATGCAGGAGAAAACTTTTGCAAATCATATATCTGAGAAGGATTTAATTTCCAAAATATACCAAGAACTCATGCAGCTAAAGAGCAAATAATATTAATGACTAATACTGTATTACACATCTGAATGTTGTTAAAAAGAAAATTTTCAGTGGTCTCACAGAAGAGAAATTGCAATTATGTGATGTGATGATGGTGTTAGCTAATGCTCTGATGGATGTCATCTTGTGACATAAGTGCATCAAACCAATAGGCTGTATCCTTAAACTTACACGATGTTATATGTCAATTGTATTTTATATCTAGGAACCTCCCACCCGCTCAAAATATACAACATTACACTATCTCTTGAAGGCTGGCCCTCTGAGCTGCTGGCTAGTTCCTGAGCACAGCAGAGTCAACAGGTTGTGTGCCAAATAAGGGTACACTGCATGGATTTGAATCCACATCCTGAAGTGCAGCCTGCTATAGACTCAATGCTTGTGTCCCCCCAAAACCCAGATGTTGCAAACCCAAGCCACAATGTGGCGGTGTTAGGAGGTGGGGGTTTCTGGGAGATGATTAAGTCATGAGGGTGGGTCCTTCATCATGGGATTAGTGCCCTAAGAAAACGGACCCTGGGAGAACTTCAGCCCTTCCTCCTGGAGACACGTGAATAGACGGCAATCTATGCACACGGAAGCAGGTTCACGCCAGTCACTAACTCTGCTGGTACCTTGACCTTGGATTTGCAGCCTCCAGACTGAGCAGTCAATGTTTCACTACAAGCCGCCCAGACTGTGGGTTTCACAGTTGGCTCAGTGGTAAAGAATCCACCTGCAATGTAGCAGAACCAGCTTGAACCCCTGGATCGGGAAGATCCCCTGGAGGAGGAAACAGCAATGCACTCCAGCATTCTTGCCTGGGAAATCCCAGGGACAGAGGAGCCTGGTGGGGACTACAGTCCGTGGGGTCACAGAGAGTCAGACACAATGAGCACACATATACACACACAGTCAATGATACTGTTACAGCCGCCTGAGCAGATTGAGATGCTGACCTCTGCAAATCACCAACTCCTCTGTGCCTCAGCTTAGGCTCACTTGCCTCATGAGGATTGAACGGGGAGATCCACCTGTGTAAGTGCTAAGCAAGAGCCCTACTACGCACCAGACGCTGTGCTGAGCACTTTACTATTCCTCTGGATTCCACTGAACTCCCCACCCATGACAAAGTTTGAGGATGAGCAGTGCTAGGTTGATCCTTGTCCCCGCCCCCCCAGCCTGGTGCACAGTAGGTCTTCAGGAACCTTGGTGCTGTGTGAGTGCGCTGGGCATGTTGTCCCACTTCAAACTCACTCGGGACTCACTCAGGACTCACTCAGGACCTTTGAGTCCAGCTCACTTAAATCTTGTCGGGGGTCAAAGCTCATGCGGGTAGACATGGGTTGTTTCTTAGAAAGGGCTTAAAAACCATAAACTGGGGGACTTCCCTGGTGGTCCAGTGGTTAAGACTTTACCCTTCCAATGCAGGGGGCGTGGTTTCCATCCCTGGCCAGGAAACTAAGGTCCCACATGCTATGTGGTGAGACCAAAACATAAAAATAAAATAAAAAGATAAAAGAAATCAGGATAACCTTATATGCAAAACAGAAAAAGAGACACAGATGTACAGAACAGACTTTTGAACTCTGTGGGAGAAGGTGAGGGTGAGATGTTTCGAGAGGATAGCATCAAAACATGTATATTATCTAGGGTGAAACAGATCACCAGCCCAGGTTGGATGCGTGAGACAAGACAAGACCCAGAGGGAGCGGGTAGAGAGGGAGCGGGGAGGGGGGATCGGGATAGGGAATACATGTAAATCCATGGCTGATTCATGTCAATGTATGACAAAAACTACTACAACATTGTAAAGTAATTAGCCTCCAACTAATAAAAATAAATGAAAAAAAAAGAAGCTAGACAAAAAAATTTAAAAAGGTAAAAGAAATCATAAATTGGGGTTCCTCAGGCTGCTTCCTCTAGTCTGGAGCTGGTGTGATTAATGCTGTCCATGGTAGGGGCTGAGAGCCTTTGCTGATAGTGGGGCTGTGAGCACCTTGAAGGAAGGACTTGTCCTTCTTGTCTTCTGTTTGTGGGTTTGCAGCC